ATGCCACTGACCCGACATATATGAATACTGTCCTGGAGGGACCATCCTCATGCCGTGACAAAATACTTCAGCACAAAATTGATGGCAGTCTGCCATATCTTGGTATGCCGGGCATTTATAGGCCACGCATTCCACGTACACCGACTAGACAGCCCGCTCCTCGGACACCCGATCCCGAAGAGCTGGTGGCCACACCTGCTGAAGATACCGCTCCTACGGACGATGGACCTCAACAAACTGCAGGCTCATCTGATGAACCTTTGGTTACCGTTATCGTGGATATATCAAAAATACCGCTCACCGCTGAAGAAAAAGCAGCAACTGACAATATGAGAGCAGATCTATCAGCAGAGATCCAAGCAGACGAGCACGTTGATGCGAGCATACTCGACAACGTTATTGACCCGCCAGAAGACTTCCTCAACCACCCAGACTACGACCCAGAGGAGGATTCAAGGTTGATTAAACAGTCATACGACAGCCGCATATACCGCTGGACGTCGGAGTTGTTGGTGGATTCACCTACGATAAAGATGAAACAAATCATTGAGGTACACACTGGCGCGGACAGAATTGTGGTTGATAAAACACGATCGCACTTACGATTTGAGATTCAATTTGGATCCAAAGCATGGAATGCAGATAAGTACTATTTGAATTATGATCACACCCACAAATGGGCACGCGACTTGCCAATTTGCAGTGCAGACCGCTTTTTCAAAAAGTTGGTACACTACCTGGACCCAGAGACCATCGAGGAGTCGACTACAGGCGTCTTTCAATGGATCTCCACAGTATATCAAAACATATTGATGGACAGTATTGCGGAGCTCCGTGACTTCACAAAAGATGCCATCCATCAGAAAAATCCTGCACTCCAAACGTTGCGCGATCTATTTAAACATTGCATCGACACATTCGGTAATCCAGACTTCCCCGCATGGAAGGAACTGGTGGAAACACCTGCCGCGCCACGTGACCCAGGCGCGGAGCAGGATATTCCCCAGGACCCAGGCAGCGTTGCATCCGCAGCTCCTGATCAAGAAACCATGGTACGGATCATAGCCGAGCAGACGGGAGTCAACCGCGAGGAGGGCGACACCGAGTCCGCCTTGCAAGAGAAGGCTCGCCGTCTCCGTACTGAAAACGCATGCCACGGTGATACCGAGGATGCGGACAACGACACAACAGAGCACATAGGACTGCCAGGGGAAAGATTGTCTAGGATCGAGATCGAGGGATTGAGTAGATCAATCGCTTCCCGACCGAATGCCGAGATCAACCGCGAAGCCATGGATCAGATCGGCCGTAGTCTTGCTCGTGGTCAGGATACTCGCTGGGGATCTCGTGAGCACCTCGCGACGGAGGGAGCCCCAGAAACGATCCTGCATGATATCGCGCGATGTCGGAATTGCGGTCGAGACTTATCCCTTGGGATCGTCACAGGTGATGGTACCCTTTGTGACATCTGTTGGCAGTGCACCGTGGCCGTAGGTGCTACGGGTAAAAGTACCGCCGTCCAGAGCGACCTAGCATACCTCCACAAGCTGACCAACTGGATCAGGATGACGCTCTCCCAGGATGACATCACGAGGTACATGAGAGACGGAGCGCAAGTCATTATGACGGGCGCGCGCTCATTCCCAGGTAATGATAAAGATTCGCTGAGGAGAATGGCTAATGTGTCTAGGAAGAGGCATCAGAAGTGGGTCGACTCTGGTCGCCCTCCTGCACGCGAGTGCAGACTGATGGGCGAGGTTGGTGACGACAGACCTCTGTACTACCCATATGCCTATCTCGTTCAGCGCTTTCTCAACGATTTGAAGTTCCGCCACCAAATGACAGGCGCTCGCGTGAACGTGGGCAAGAAGGCCTGGAACGTAGGCGACATGCGTGATGCATGCACGATCCTCGATACCAGCATCAGGACAGGACAAGCTGGTCGGAAGAAATGGTGGCTGAACGAGGGCAGACTCGACAGGCAAACGCGGCAGGCTCGCGGACTTGTCACGATTGCCCTCCCTAGAAGGGATGGCACCCGTGAGAAAGTCACGCAGCGCAAGCTTGCTGCGATTGCTAACGAGTTGTTGGGCTCCCTCGATCCGTCACACACCGACCAGAGGGGGGTTGATTCAGGGGTGAGAACCGATCCGATCGAACCTGATACACACTCCCATCAGTCTGATGATGCCATGGAGCCGCGCCATCCACCGCCGCCGCCGCGCCCTGCCCCTGGCGATGCTGCGCAGTCCAGCGCCTCTGGCGCGGCGGACCACACGCCCGCGGGGCCGCTCGCCAAGAGAGCGCGTACCACAGATTACGCCGCCTACTGGCGCGACGACCTTGAGGACAGTCATTGGGGTCTCAGGTATTGGAGCTACTACATCAACTGTTGGATCTACATCGCGATGAACAACGACGAGTTTGTATACATCCACGACATCCAGTACAACGATTGGTTACGTCACTGGATCCCGAGGACATATTGGGAGACGTTCACGACGAGCTACGCGACGTACAATGGCCAGAGGATGTGGGACCGCAGGTTCTACAAGAACGGCAACGAGTAGGGAGTCGGCCGCAAGGCCCACCGCTCAAAGGCTTGAACTTCATTATAATTCAAGTTCGCCTTGAGCGGTGGCTATTCCATACTTCTAGGCCACTTCACTATACAACACAAGTGGCCACATATACTAACATCTTTTGCGATAACCAAGGCAGCCTCCTAAGGAGCAACGCCAACGGGAGTCGCAATATAGAGTTTACATACATGCAACTTTCGTTTATCAACACGACATTTCGTCTGGCCAGACATTTGCTTTTACATGTAGTTGCGTTCCGTAGCGCGATCGTGTTCATCAACACGATCTTAGCGTGCATATTCATTACAGTATAACTACATTGCGTTGAGAATAACCTGACAGCTGGTGGCAACACCTGCCTCGCAAAGGCGAGGCAGATTACAAGTTGCTTTACTGCTCAGCCCTTCTTTCTCCGCCCACCCTTGTCTCACTCTTCTCCGCCCTCGAGTGCCGAAGCGTTTTGGGGGGCGCACCGAGGGGGCACCAAAGTGCGCTTGGCGAAGAAATGGGGACCCAGGGTGTTCCTTCTTACTTAACTTTGCAGCTGAGGCTATACTGACTTTAAGCTCAGTTGCCTGCAGACCTAAGGATTAAAGGAGTAAAAGGGTGACGGATTCTTTTCCTCTATTCCCGAGTCCTACCCTCACGGGCGGGTTTCGGGACGGGGGGTGTGAATAGAACCCGTGTAATACCCTCATATATACTCCTTATCCTCACCTGTCCTGCGCCTGGCCGTTTGGGCTCAGGTGTTGGGACAGATCGATCAGACCTTTGATTGTGCAGGAGGGAAAGACATCCATCTATCCCTCCTTCCCTCTACCAACGGATCAGGGTCTCTGTACCCTTGTACTTCAACCCCGTACACAATATTTGAACTGTCCGGGGCGTGTCCGGCCGCCTTGCATCGTGCGCTTCAAGAGGTTTAGCATGGGGCTCCGGTGCGTGCGGAATTGTCCCTTGTTTCCGCTTTCTTTCTCATTACTCGGCCGCGGACTCCTTTTTTATGTAAAGGTTCCTCAACATCGGTTTTCCCCTCTTTAAGAGAGCAGGCGGGGGCGGCGGGCAATACGATGGATGTTGCTTCGCTCTTCGAGGCGTCGGCTGTCGAGGGGCGGTTGCAACTGATTCATAGCTCGGGAGGCAAAAGTTGTCCACGGTTCTCGTCTCCCTCCTTTTTTTTTTTTTTCTCTCTCTCTCTCTCTCTCTCTCCATTTCTCTCTCTCTCTCTCTCTCGGCGTCTACACCTACCCGCTCCGTCCCTCTTTTCCTCTTCTGCTCCTATCCTCCACCCCGGACCCCTGCTTCCCCTCCCATACTTACCCTTCACGGGCTTACTATGATGATGATGATGATGAGGATGAGGATGAGGATGACGATGATGATGATGATGATGATGATGATGATGATTATGAGTATGATTATGATTATGATGCTGCTGATGATGATGATGATGATTCAGACGAGGATGAAGAGGATGAGGATGAGGATGATTGGGGAGGAGGAGGAGGAGGAGGAGGAGGAGGAGGAGGAGGAGGAGGGAGGAGGAAGGGGAGGAGGAGGAGGAGGAGGAGGAGGAGGAGGAGGAGTAGGAACAGGAGGAGGAAGAGGAACAGTACGCGGAGGAGTCTTATTTGGAGCCTCTTGGGAAGCCTCCCGGGAGGCCTCTTGGAAAGCCTCTGCGGAGCTTTCTGGGAGCCTTTTGGATGCCTCTTGGGAACCTCCCTGTCAGGGCCTTTTCTCGGACGCCAGTGTCGATGCAGTGGCAGCATGGACCCTCTGGGGCCGTCTTGTAGGCTTCTTGGGCCGACTTCGAAGCATCTTGGGCCTTGTTGGGTTGTTATGGAGGCCATTTTGGGCTTTCTTGGGCCGTCTTGGAGGGCATCTTAGATCATCTTCGGCGAGCTTGGAGGTCTCCTAGGGCCGTTTTGAAGGCTTCTTGGGCCGTCAGGAGGTCATCTTGGAGGCTTTTGGGGGCATCTTGGCGCGATATTGGGGGCATCTTGGGCCGTACTGAGCCGTCGGAAGGCCGAAAGGAAGCACATCCCCAAATTCTTGAAACAACCTTCGCAGAACCAATTATTTCGACCTTTTGGGCCGTCTTGGACGCTTGGACCGTTTTGGAACGCTACTTACGGGCATGTTGGGCCGTCTTGAATGCTTCTTGGGCGGACTTGTAAGCATCTTGGGCCCCGTTGTGGCGTCTTGGAGACCATATCGGACCGCCACATTGCCTGGTTTGTGGGGACTGAGGCCGATCTATCTGCGATGGATCGCCGGTTCTAGCTTGATGCTCTCCCCCTTTGCCGGCCCCCCCCTAACGAGATCTTTTCCTCTGCGGATCCCTGGCCCCCGCGGGGTCGCTCCAGCTCGCCGCCTCGCGGCGGCGGCGGTCGGCGTAGCCCCCGAGACCGCCCCGAGGAGATCCTCGCGCAGGCCGACAGCACGGTCGAGGTGGGCCAGGATCCGGGGTAGCCCAGGGGGGGGGTTGCGGCGAGGAAGCCAGGCCCCGAGGAAGAACAGACGGCCCACGAGGGGCGTGAGCAGAAAGGGCACCGCTGCGGCAGAAGAGCCTGGACAGTTTTACACGGATGGGGTGATACGAAGTTCCAGTGGCAACTGCGGTGGATGTGGGCAAACCTTGGATTCTCATGTGATCGTCGCGCCGGGCATATGTGACGGGGCGCGCCAGGTGACGCGCGTTCTGTTGTTTGTGTTGCACCTGGACAATAATGATTTACTTGCCAGTGTCTGCCATGGCCATCTTCATCGCGCCCATGGTCACGCAATTGTCGACCGTCAATGCGGTAATGGGGATCACGACGACGAATATGATCAGGATCACCGACATGATGATCACGTTCACGCTTTTCATCTTCATCATGATGATACTTTTGATGGCGATTATGTTGATGCTGATGCTTACGATGACGACAATGATGATGAGGAGATCAGGATGAGGAGATGATGTTGCTGATGCTGCTACTGATACTGATTATGATGAGGATGATGCATATCATGCGAATGATGGTGATGCTGATGCTGCTGCTGCTGATGATGATGATGATGATGAGTATGATGATGATGCTGATGCTCATGATGAGTATACTGATATTGTTGCTGATGTGGATGATGCTGCAGATGATTGTGATGCGGATGATGAAATCGATAACATTGAAATTGATGTTGATACTGATGATAATGATGGGGATGATGAGAGTGATGGCGATGGTGATGATGGTGATGGTGCTGGTGCTGGTGGTGATGGTGGTGATGATGGTGATGATGGTGATGCTGATAATGGCGACGGCGACCATGCTTATGATGATCATGATTGTGATGATGTTGATGTCGATGTTGATGATGCTGATATATATATATATATATATACACGATAATGTTGCTGCTTATGCTGATGATTATACTGCTGAGGCTGATGCTTATCATGATGATGCTGATGATGCTAATGATGATAATGACGTTGATGATGATGATGCTGATTACGATGATGATGATGGTGATGATGATGATGATGACGATGATGATGATGATGATCCTGCTGCTGCTGATTGTGTTGATCATGATGAGGCGGATGATGATGATGATGGTGGCGAGTCCTCCCACGATAATAAAAGCAAGTCTCGCGCATCAACATGTAGTGGTATCTGGTCACGAACGATATCGCCCCGCCCCGCGTTCAAACTTATCCTGGACGATCGTCAGGCCGATTCGCAGGCTCCGACGGAAAGTAAGCTTCCCATGATGCATATGTCTCTGCAGCGCGTCGTTCACAATGCCTGAAGTACCGAACATCACCCTGAGCCGTATGATGTTTCATGGAAGGGATTTCTCTAACCAGGGTGGGCCGGAGGTTTGGCAGGGGTAGAGCTTCGAGGCCGCAGGGTTCGCCCAGGATCAGTCGGGGGTGGTCCATGGATTGGCGAGCTGGCCAGGGTAGTGTTTCGATCGGCAGCCCTCTGGCATGAACGGGTCCGCCGTCGTTGGGAGCCCTGCTGACGTGACAGTCTCTGAACAGGGGTTGCTACAGGCACCCCTGGCCCAAGATGCCCCCAGCTTTTCGCTCCACTTTGGAGCCCCTGGGGCCCTCGGGTCTTGTGACGGGGTTCTCTGGCGGCCGCAGGGGTCTCCTTGGAACTCCCTGGGAACACCTTAGGCCAGGGGCACTTCGAGCAGCACCCAATCCGAGAGCAGCCAGGGTTAAGTCGGGCATGTCCCTCTCCATGAGGGAAGACTATTCAGAAATAGTTATAAAATAGTCGGGAAACGATGTTACGATTATTGTTGTTGGTTATTCTTGAGTATTCTCTGAATCTTTTTGACCTTTCGTCCACAATCCGCCTGTAGGGGGACATCCCGACCTGAGGCCAGGGGCCCTTCGAGCAGCACCCGATCCGAGAGCAGCCAGGGCGCCCGCGCCCCCCAAGCGCCGGGCCGCTTCAGGACCTCTGCGTCCTCGAGCCGGGCGGCTCGCCCCCCAGCGGCGGCGCCGCGCCCGCCGCGGCGCGCCCCCCCTGCTTGGCGGAGGGCAGCTGGCATCTCTACGACGGCGGAGTTTCTGGGTCCATTCTTCCTCCTCCTTTCCTCTTCCTCCTTCTCCTCCTCCTCCTCCTCCTCCTCCTCCTCCTCCTCCTCCTCCTCCTCCCCCTCCTCCCCCTCCTCCCCCTCCTCCCCCTCCTCGTCGTCGTCGTCGCCGCGGCCCTCCCGCCCGCTGCGGCGGCAGCTCGTCCTCGCCCTGCGAGGAGGAGCTGCCGCGCAGCGCAGCGACGACGAGGCGACCCGCGTTTCTTCGGTGGGGGCCCCAGGGGGGGGCGCCGTCGGGCCCGCGGACCATCAGAGCACGGCCCGCCACCGCACGCGTCCCCTAATCACTCAGACTATCCACAGCAGCCTGGAAGCACAGCAGCATGTAGCGCCTCCTGGCGTCCTGGCCCCGCCTGGTGCCGGAGCATGTCGCCTCCTGGTCATCGGAAGTGGATATCTTTGGATTCCCACGAGGTTGTTTCCTCAGGTTCGGCGATAACCCGGTTTGTCGGGCTCGCCTCCTCCTACCCACACCGCCCGGATAACCTTACCCTGTCGGTGGAGCAGGTCCAGGCATATGTATTGCAAGAGTTGATTTGTTTTGTCGTGTGTTGTTGCTCTCTGGGCGGGCCCAAACCTGATATATTCGATCCGCCTTCCTAACTACTTCATGTTTCCACCTATTTCCAACTGGCGGGTTGCATAATATTAGTGCTACTCTCATCTTTCCCTTGGCTCTGTCCGGAAGTTACTCGGACCTCTCCGCGTACGGCGTTTCTGCATTGGATTTCGAGAGTTGTGTTTTTGGCTGCATCTTTATCGATCAATTGGATCGTTTCTGGTGTTTCAGATGGTGTGCCCGCTGCAGCATGGGCCTCATTTTCGGATCGGCGCTGTGCTCCCGTCGTTCAGACTGGCTCTCTGGCGCCACTGTGGGCCACATGTCTGGATCCGAGTCCTTCTTCATCGTTGTCGCCCCCCCTTCTCTCCCGCGCCTCCCCTGCTCCTCCGGCTCCTCCGGCTCCTCGACCTCCTTCCACTCCCGCGCCTTTCATCGTTGTCGCCCCCCCTTCTCTCCCGCGCCTTCCCCTGCTCCTCCGGCTCCTCCAGCTCCTCCGGCCCCTTTTACTCCAGTTTCTGCTGCTGCTCTTCGTCTTCGTCATCTTCCTTCCTCATCCTCCTCCTTAACCTCTTGCTCATCCCCCTGCTCACCCGCCACATCCTCCTCCTGTACGCGGAGCTCCCCTTTTGCCGACTGCGTACAACACGATGGGGCCGTTTTGATATACGTAGAGCTCAGGGTCGGCTACGACTCGCGTCCGTGGATCGCCTTCCTGCCTTCGTCCTTCCCTCTTCCTCCTCCTCCTCCTCGTCTCCTCCTCCTCCTCTTCCTCCTCCTCCTCCTCCTCCTCCTCCTCCTCCTCCCTCCTCCTCCTCCTCCTCCTCCTCCTCCTCCTCCTCCTCCTCCTCCTCCTCCTCCTCCCCTCCTCCTCCTCCTCCTCCTCCTCCCCCTCCTCCTCCTCCTCCTCCCCCCCCTCCTCCGCCCCCTCCTCCTCTCCTCTCCTCCTCCTCCTCCTCCCTCCTCCTCCTCCTCCTCCTCTCCTCCTTCTCCTCCTCCTCCTCCCCCTCCCTCCTCCTCCTCCTCCTCCTCCTCCTCCTCCTTCTCCTCCTCCTCCTGCTCCTCCCTCTTCTCTTCCTCCTCCTCCTCCTCCTCCTCCTCCTCCTCCTCCTCCTCCTCCTCCTCCTCCTCCTCCCTGATGTTCCGTGCAGTATTTTCCTGGCCAAGACGGCAGCAACGATTGCTGGCATCCTTGGCGCCATTGCCGTAGTGTTGCCGGGTTCCAGTCCGTCTCGCATGGCCGGTTGCCGTGTGCTTTGTTTTTCCTGGCCAGACAGTGGTCGCATCAGACGCGAAGTCCAGCATCTTCCCTTTTCCTCTTTCTCCCTTCCGGCTCCTCCCTCTCCATTCCTTCTCCCTTTACGGCGCTGAGGTTCCAGCCGTGCCCGCCAGCCGAGTCGGTCGAATCTTCTCTCCCTCTGCTCCCTTGCTTTCCTCTCTCTCCTCCCCCTCGCCTCCTCCCCCTCCTCCCTCCTCGCTCCCTCCCCCCCCCTCCTCCCTCCCTCTCTTCTCCCCTCCCTCCCCTCCCGCGCGCGTGCTCCGCGCACGTCAATCATCTTAGCGAATTCCGACGGACTTCGCAGGGGGGTTGCGAGTGTGCTCGGCCACTCGCTGGGCGCTTGGCCACAACCGCGAAGAAATTCGGTGTCGACCTGGCCGTGGGCAATTGAAGGTACCGCTAATCTAGCCGCTCAGCGCTGCGCGAACGCACGGGCAAAGTTCAGTCGCGCAAGCGGGGGTGAGCTGCTTCGCGCGGGGCAAGCAAAAACATGCGTAAATTGTTGACCACGGGCTTAGATTCTTATGGCACCTACAGTGTAAAAGTCACCAGGGTCGATACTGCCGAATTGCGCCAGTTGCAGTCTTCCTTTTTGCACACTACCGGCTCCCGAGGCGATAATCGCTCACGTCATATTTCGCTATCCCTGCTGGAGGACCCGACGTGGCGCCAAGGGCTGGCCCCGGCCCGTTTGTGGGCCAGAATAGCATGGCGTGCCAGCACGGATAGGTCTGCACGTAACCACTTCCCCATACCTCGCCTCCTTTCTCTCGCTGCTCCCATTTTGGCCACTCCCCCGACAAATTAGGGAAGCGCAGCTGCGATCCTCCCCCTCCTGCGGATCGGGTGGGAGATGCATTCTGTGCGAGCTGTGGCCCTTCACTGCTTTCTCCACCAAAACTCTTGAAGAACAAATGAAAGCAGCGTGGCAAAGCGTCCACTTGCGCGCCATTGGCCAGAAACTCGGTCTTGAGGCAGGTGCCATCGTAGCTTTGTCGGTCGCCGGGCAGGGCCCCTGTCGCGGGTGCTTCTAGAAGCATGAGGCCGGCGTTTTGGTGCCATGTCTGCGCCAGTCCTTGCGGGCTGGTCATAAGTTGAGGCAGACAGGTTATGAAAAAGCTGCGGTTTGTGCGTGCGGCGGTCCGTCAGGTTGTTTATCGCACCGCCTTCACCACTTCCCTTTTCGGCCCCGCTGCGGACGGTTGGGTGGGAATAGACAGATGGTGACATCATCAACGACGGGCATATGATCTTCCCGTTAGTTTGGGGCTTCCTGGAACTAACTGTCTGGCTTCTCGGTGAGTCCACGGCGCAGGTCGGGCACCACGCCTTACCGTTTTTCTGCGCGGGCGCCTCCCTAAGGGTGTTGAAGGAGTTGGCGGGGGAAGACTTTACATATGGCTATTGCCTTAAGGACGGCCACGCGGAATTCCATGCTGCCAGTTTGGTTTTCATCGGGTTGACATTTGGCGGTGATTTGTTTGCTGCCTTATGTGGGTCTGTGGGCTCGCATTACCCACAGACTTTCCCGGCAGCCGAGCACGTGGCAGTCCCATGAACATTGCCCGCAGGGGCAGGCCATCTATTCGGATATCTTGGGCCTCGTGTGCTGGTCGACAGCCCCGCAGAGCCAGATCACATCGAGGCACCACGTGTACGCAGGCATCCGCATACAGATCCATGCTTCGCCTACGTCAGGCCCGAAATTCCAAACAAGGTCCACGCCCACGCGGACCTGGATTTCCTTGCCCCGCAGTCCCTTGAGTGGCATCTTGCGGTGGGCAGTGATCTTGCGGACAAGAATGCGAAGCTAGGCGCTGCGTTGCTCTCGCAGCCTGCCAGAGGCAGGACGGCGAGCTTTTGCAGACAGCGCAGCAGTTCAGAGAAGGTACCTCGGCGACGTGGCCAGAGCCTTGTTCCTGTACCCGCGCCTTGCCCCTGCGAGGAAGGCCCGGTCCAGGTTTAGTGAGTCCTTGCGCGGGGTCGGATTTCGAACAGGCGCGCGAGCGGCAAAAGATGCCCTGCCGCCTCCGCCCCCATCCTTCATCTCCCCCGCCTCTGCCAGCCCAGGCGCAGGCGAAGTCGCGGCCCCGAGCGCCGCCAGCTCCGGCCAGGCATGCGGCAGGCTTCGCGGGGCAGCAACACGAGTGGATTTAGAGGCGCCAAGGTTCCCCGACCTTCCAGGAGGGCGAACAAATAGCACCAGGACTTCGACGCCTGAATTCCTGTCGCGGTTTTGGGCAGTCCAGATGGGTCTATAGGTCTGGGGGGCTACTTCTTAGCATTCTGGAAGGTCAGGGTTTCTGGGCGCGCCTTGACTACCAGCGGCGCAGTTCCAGAAGCCAGGTGGAGCCCGCGCACCGTCTGTATGCCCCCGCCGCCGCCGCTCGACGTGTGCGCGGGGGCCTCGCCCATCCTCCGCTCCTTGTTCCATGACCAACGCGGGCATAATCTTCTCGCGACGGAGCGCCCCACCAGCATCGTGCACTGTTATTATTTGCCAAGCGCGTGGCAATTATTCGGAAGGCGCGCGCGCTGTAAACCTGGAGAACAGACGCCGCCCTGCCAAAGTTTTCTTCCGGCGCGCGATCGCCAAGTGGAATTGGGTTTGCAAGGGGCAGCCCCCGAATTACAAACGCAGGAACAGGACAATTCTTGCGATCTGATGCCATTCGGCACACTGCTCGCGCTCCGTGCGGGGTTGGTCTCCCTGGCGAGCCAGGCCCCCTCTTCCGCCCCCCCCTCCTCCGCCGCAGCCCCCCCGCGCGGCCGCGACCCGGGTGGCACGGTACCGCGGCTAGCACGGGTGGCCGCTGTACCGCGGTTTTGCGAGAATGTGTATATGTAGTGCGCACGGTTTCACCATGCCATTCAGCTTCATGTGCTTGTTCCCCTCCCCCTACCATGCTTCGGCCTTTTGTGGCGGGTGGCCACCAACGCATTGCTCTCTTCCTGACATTCCTTCTCTCACAGACCAGTCCCGAGTCCACATCTCTAGAGGTCCGCCCTCCGCCGCGTTCCTGCGGGCACCCTGCTTGATGTGTGATAACCTGTGTCCCCCCCGTCTGGGGGGGGGGGCAGGGTG